CTCATATCCCCCGTCCTCTGTTCTGATTGGAGGGGAGAGTTAAGGCCCCCGTCCATCTCAGGGAGCCCTGTGAACCCCGCTTTCAGTCCTTTTTCCCCACCCAGGGTGCTTGGAAGGGCTGGGACCCCAGAGGTAGAAGTGAGCCTTTGATATCGGCAGCTCTAGAGGGCTGTGTATGTGTGCGTGTGTGCACGTGTGTGAAATTCCTCTCGCCCATTTCTCCCCCCACCCCACCCTCCATACCACACACACACACACACACACACACACACACACACTCCTCTTATTGATTCCTCTCTTCCTGAGCCTCAGCACTGCATTCATTCATCGAACAAATATTTATTAAACACCCATTATGTGCCAGGAGCTGGAGATACACTCGTGGGAAAAGACTGTTATTTCAAGAGGTTGTATAGACACCAGGAGTGCGTGCGTGTGTGTGTGTGTGTGTGTGTGTGCGTGCGTGCACATGTGCGTATATGAGCAAGTGTGTGAGGGTGACGGTAGCAGGAGGGAGAAGAATGTTAGCAGCTTAAGTTCAGGAGACAAACGGCTTGCACCTGCATCCGGATGCTACCATGTGCTAGCCTGGCGGCCTTGGGTAGGGGATATACCCTCTCCAGGCCTCCTGCTCCCATCTGCAAATCAGGTGGCAACAGGACTCAGCCCTCGTAGTTGTTGTGAGGACCGGGCCGAGGGAGGGAGTGCGTGTGTGCAGGGTGCGCAGAGCAGTGCCTGGCGCACAGCAGGTGTTCAGGAAGCATTAGCAATCGCCGGTGCCTCCCCCTCACCTTGCTCAGAGCTGGGTGTGGGCAAACTTGGAACGACCTGTTCTCTAGACCTGTCTCCCGCTCACTGACTCAGAGGCAGTCACCAGGCGCTTACCACCTCCTGCCCCCGGAGTCTCATCTACAACACGCAGCCCACAGACCTCTGTCTAGCCATACCGCTGCCATCTTCTGCCCACTGCCCCACCCCAGCTGCTTGTGATGGGGAAGAAGTGACGTCACACAATGGGAGCTGCCTCAGCCCCATTGCCACTCTCCAGACATATAGGTCTGCACCGGCAGCTCCCTCTCAGCTGGCTGGGAATGGAGGAGAGAGATGCGGGAGCACCTGCGGTGGAGCCCAGGCACACAGCCTTATGGGACCGGGGACCAAAGGACTTTTGGGGGGGGAGGGGCTTCCAGCAGAGAGGGATCCATCCACAGCCTTCCAAAGTGGGCGGCCACTGGCACTAATCCTGGCTTTAGAAATGGCAGGGCTTCCTCCGGAGTCAGGGCTAGGCCAGCAATGGCGTTGTGGGTTCTCTGTTCTTCTTCTTCTTCTTCTTCGTCTTCTCCTCTTTTTGGCCACGCCATGTGGCATGCAGGATCTTAGTTTCCTGACCAGGGACCAAACCTGCACCCCCTGCAGTGGAAGCTCGGAGTCTTCAACACTGTACCGCCAGGGAAGTCCGTGGCTTCCCTGCTCCTGAAGAGATGTGCCGCCCCCTTGGCATAGGCTTTGAGAACTGGGGGAGGAGTGTGGGCTCAGCCAGGGCTAGAGGAGGGTTCAGGGAGTAGATACACACACACACACACACACACACACACACGATCCCCCATGAGGGTGCAGATGCCTGGCTAGGAAGGAAGGAGGGAGAGGGTCTGGTGTGAACGTGTGTGGGTGTGGGAGGTAGCTTTGTGGTTGTGTGGGTGGCTCTGGGTGTGCACGCTGCCTGTGTGTTTCTCTTTTGGTGCACCCAGGTCCCTGTGTCTGCATCTCTGTTTCAGTGTGTCTCTGCATGAGTTGGATGTCAGGGTAAAGGTAGGTTTTTTGCTCCATCTCTGTCTTGTCTCTTTACTTGAGCCTCTCAGCAAGCCAGCAGAGGGAATTTTCCCTTTTGGGAGGGTGGGAAAATATGGCTCATCGGGGCAGTATGGGTCAGGGCTTTCATAAACACACACAAATCACAGGACATTCTTGTGTGTGATCCTTAGCTCCCACTAAACTGGGATTTATACACATTTAAGAGAAAGAAAGCCGAGGACTGTGAGTGTGTTTGTGGCTCTTCTGTATGTCTACTGTCTGGTGGGTATGTGTGCTCGCTTCTTGGATGTGTTTGTCACTCTGTCCCCAAGGCACTGTCTGTATCCATAGAGGGGTGTGTGTCTGCACACACATGCTGGTCCACGTTTGCCTCTAAGAAGCCATTTAACAGAAGAAGCATTGGCTCCTCAGACAACCCGAGGTTCAAATCTGAGTTTGGACAGTAACTAATCCATTAACTTTGGACACGTTCCTAAACTCCCGTAAGCCACAGTTTCCCCACGGGGGTGATAATAGCACTCATCTCACGAGGTGCTGGGAGGATTAAATGAGATCATGTTATACACCTGGCACACGTGAGAATATGTCAACAGCCCCATCTGTGAATGTGCCTCTCTGAGAAAAATGTCTCCACGGTTGTGACTCGTAAAATGTGACATCTCAGCCAGATTATCCATTCCTTTAGGGCACAGCGTGGGTCTTATCTTTAAGGACTCAGGACACCTCAGTGCCTTGTATATATTTCATCTTAGGGGAAGTGAGTTAAATAAGCCGGGGAAACATAGGCCTGGTGTCTGATGTATGCCCACCCCTGGTGGTACAAGGAGGGCGAGTTGGCTGGTGATGGCATAGTGACAACAGCCCCCCATGATCACTACCGCCCGCTTCACTCACATCTCTGCAACCCCAGGCTCCCTCCCTTATGGCTGATGAGGCTGGCCCAAGACTCATGGAAAGGCCGCCTTCCTCCTTTCTCTGCTCACCCCACCTCAGGCATCAGCCTCGGTGCTGGGTAAGCCTGGGTGGAGTTTTTAGGGACCACATCGGGAGGGTTCAGGAGACCTCTCCACTCCCGACGATATATCCCTCCTCTGCAGCATGTGGGTGTGCTGTGTGTCTGTGCATCGCTCTGTTGGGGGTGTGACGTCTTTCTGTATGAAGCTTCTCCGTGTTATTGTAGGTACGTGCGTGTGCTACTGTGTGACGCGCCTCTGCCTGGGGTTTGCTCTCCTCCCCCAGTTTTCCCAGTTACATAAGCATCTGAGGGGCTACTCAGGCCTGGGCAATGGGCTCCCCCTGCTGGCAGCCTCTGGAACTCACAACCTGGGGAGGGCACGTGCGAGAGCGGGTCTCCCAGGGCCTCATTCCCACTGGAGAGGCCAGCTCAGCCCTCGACAGCTGCCTGCCCTCGGCTCCCTCCCAGCCCCAAGCCCTAGGGTGTTCTCTGGTCCTTGAGAGTCCCTCTCATGACACTCATTCTGGGGGTTGGTTATTACTAGCTTATGGTACAACCCTCTGGCACGACTGTATGTTCCCTGAAGGAAACATTTCTGCCTGTTTACCACTGCATCTCTAGTGCCCTGCATGAGGTGTGGCCCAATCGGTATTTTTGTGTGTGCGTGTGTGCTTCCACAGCACGTCCATTTTTTGGAAAAATTTTTATTGGAGTATAATTGATTTTAAATGGTGTGTTGGTTTCTGCTGTACAGCAACGTGAATCAGTTATACACATACATATATCTACTATTTTTAAGATTCTTTTCCCATATAGGTCATTACAGAGTATTGAGTAGCATTCCCTGTGCTATACAGTAGGTCCTCATTAGTCATCTATTTCCAGTCTGTATTTGTTCAATGAAAAGGTTATAGGGTGAAGAGGCTTGGGAAGAGAGACAGTGAGGTGAGGGAAGATTTAGAGTTTGGGGGACAGATAGGCCTGAGCTCATCATACCTTGGCCACTTAAAAGCTGTGTGGCCTTGGGCAAAATGCTTAACCCCTCTGAACCTCAAGTTTCTCATCTGTTAAATGACACCATCTGGCACAATATGCTGTAAAGACTGGAAGTAATGTCCAAAAAGGCCTTATTGTACACGCATGTGTGAAACTGAACAAAGGAAACCTAAATCAAAATGGAGTCAGGAAACCATGAAGGGAGGTCTCTCATGCACTCATTGCTCACCACAGCTTACAGATCCCAGCAGGAAGAAGGAAGTCTTCCTTTTGACCCAGCAAAAAGCTGCCGGCCACTTGCAGCCAATGAAAATTCCCTGCCACCGCCTGCCCTCTTCTCCTCCCATTTCTTCCTAAAACTTAGTAAAACTTGACCTTCCCTTTGTCTCCTTGGACTTGCCTGTGGTTCACCATAGTTTGCTTGTCCCGAATTGCAATTCCTGTGCTATTCACGGATAAACTTATTTTGGTTAGTTTAAGACCTTGTTTCATTTTTATTTTGTTTTATTTTTTAACATCTTTATTGGAGTATAATTGCTTTGCAATGGGGTGTTAGTTTCTGCTTTATAACAAAGTGAATCAGCTATATGTATACATATATCCCCATATCTCCTCCCTCTTGTATCTCTCTCCCACCCTCCCTATCCCACCCCTCTAGGTGGTCACAGAGCACTGAGCTGATCTCCCTGTGCTATGCGGCTGCTTCCCACTAGCTATCTATTTTACATTTGGTAGTGTCTATATGTCCATGCCACTCTCTCACTTTGTCCCAGCTTACCCTTCTCCCTTCCCACGTCCTCAAGTCCATTTTCTACGTCTGCATCTTTATTCCTGTCCTGCCCCTAGGTTCTTCATAACCTTTTTTTTTTTTTAGATTCCAT